ACACAAAACTGTAGCTTGCCACAATACTCTCAGTGCTAGAACCACGAGGATGAGGCTGGGAGCAGTACTCTCTGCCACAAAGTCAGACACGCGAGCAGACATACCCATGGGCCCATCCATAACGGCGAAGAGGACACAATGCCCTCAAGGTCGCAATCTACATGCTTCACCAACGATCCCACAGCCTTTCCCACTGAGCCCACCGCGATCATACCACATCATCTTGGGGGGAAGTGATGGAAAACACTCCGGTTCCGCCGTCCCGGTCCTTGTTTTTGGGAAGCCCGCCGCCCACAGAGTTGGACCGCGAGTTCATCTGTATAGACACCCATGAACCATGGCATCTCATCTCCCACAGGGCCACAAGTACACAGCAGACCCAAACATGCTATGCGACAGCTCGTCTCCTCCGCATCTCGTCAATATCGCTCGGCAACGGCATTTGGGATGTCAGAAAACCTTGGCGTATCCGGCTATCAACGTAAGGTAGGAAAACGCAAGATTAAGCGCACCGAATACATTGATCGCCCGAGTCTATTCCTCCCTAATGTCCCCCTCTGTTGCCTCGAATGCGGGCCCCAACGCTACGGATCAATGTCGACATCTCCAAGGGAAAAGCTAGATAAACTGTAAAGACAGATAGATACGCGAACTTTTGGTGAGTATCCAGATAATGTCTGCAGTAGCATTGCTGAGCCACCTCGGCTGGCTCATTTCACATGCGCGTTTCCTCAAGCCACGCCATTATGCCACAAAGCATGGGGACTCCCAGGCGGAGAGGACGAGGATAGACGGGTGTGTATCGATCTGGGCAGAAACCCCTCTCTATCTCGGACCACGTCCCTCTAGCATCTTGCAGACTAAGAATGAAAACGTACCAAAGAGCCATGCGTTCAACGGCCTCCCACGCGAGCTCATGGAGCACCGTGATCCACCATCCCCATCTTCGATCCTCAACTATCAGACATCATGTCACGTCTTGCCAGCCGAGTTCTCTAAAGGCCCAACGCACGGGAAACCTCGTCCATGATCTCCACTTTGGAACGACTGCGCACCCCCCAAGCTCCATGCAGCGGGCTCTTCCCCTCCTCGAGCATCAACCAGAAGTCCGCCGAGACCACTCGGGTCAAAACGCCAGGGAGAGACACAAGATTACCCGGCGAAGAGCAGACTGCACTCTGCTAAGCATACTTCCAACAAGGACGGAACTCCCTATCGCAAACCCCAAGAAAAGCTGTCCACCGTTCCCACAGTTTCCCAAATACCCACACAAGCTCCCCGTTGCTCCACAACGTATCCCCATACCGGTGAACATGCCCCCTAGCCGACATCTCACACGCATACACATCCACATGGAGTACAGCATCCCACTCCGTCTCTGCGTCTTCTTACCTCCGAGCCTTCTCCAGTCTATCCATCTCTCGGCCGTTGGGGCGTGACGGATCTGGGTCTCTGTCTCTCTCTTACAATGTCCAACCTAGATGGCGCCATCAACCGCCTGATCGTCTAACGCGTGCCTCGCCTCTCTGCTTGTCATATTCTCCCCGTTCTGATCTCACGCCTGTCTGACTCGAAAGGGATACACACGCCACAAAATACACGAGGTTGATCCCCAGACAGACAAGTCTAATACGCGCGTAACGGCTGGCTCACATCATCAAAATTCGCAAATCCTAGTGCCACCCGCTGATCCTCCTCAGAGACCTCACATGCCCGTAGGCAGACAAACGGAACCTGATATCTGAAATCCAAAAGTCTCACTCACATGAGCCCCCAAACCAAAAAGAACAGACAACCACACACACCCATCAAGCATCTGCAGGCATCTACAAGCATCAGATATCAAGCCCGCCTTCTCGTCGTCCTTCCCCAGGATGCTCGGCAAACATCCGGGATATCAATATCCTTCCCCAGTCATTGTCGTCAAGACTATCATCATCATCCCACAAACTCCTCCGCGCAGAGAGCACACACACACACCCTCCTCAACCCTAGACAAATCCAGGTAAGGTAACCCACGCTGCCAAAAACAAACATTACTACCATTCCCAATGAGGCAGCACTTGGATATCAAAAAAAGCTCAAAGCTCAACCCACGCATCCACGCAACGCGGGACGATAGTCTCACATACATCAGTGACATTCGTGACCTTCAAGATACTTCTACTTCGTCCACACTAATTGACATCACGATACATTCGCGATACATCCCCCTCCAGCTTCTACTAGAACCGCGCCCCCTCCAAGCTCCGCCAACAACTTCCGAGCTCCGAGCGACTCTCAATAGTCCTTCTACTACCTCAAGCCGCATAGTTCTGACATTCCCTTGACCTCACCTCACATGGACCTGACCTCAGATCACTCCTTTGCCGGGAGGAGCAAAGGCAGCCATATCCTGTCCCTGTACATCGCCCAAGAGCCGGCCGGCAGCACGCCCACGGCTCAGAAACGGAACCACCAAAACTTCCTCCCAAGGCCCTGCTCTGTCCTCTGCATCTGTACCCGTACCACCGAAGCGTCGCCGCCCTTGTTCCCACGTGAATCCCGGCTACGAAGCATCTATAGAACACCTGGCTATCTGTGCTGCAAGCCCATGAGCAACAGACGGGGGAGGACAATGCTCCTGCATTGCAAAACCTGCCGGCGAGGTGAAGCAGCAGCGGCGGCGCGGACGAGGTGCGGTCAACGGACGAGGGTTCGGAAAGACAGAAATTCACACAATCCATATGCCGAGCCAGACAGAGCTCAGAGAGCGGCGGACCCCCCAGCCTCTCTTCCCACCCATGTCATCAAACCCCTGTCCAACCGTCCAAAAAAACCCCCATGCCAGCGGTCCCAAAGGGGCCCCCAGACGGCCCCGACGCCCCCCAAGGTGAGCAGTCAGGTGTAACCCTCTCACCGACATATCCCTCACCTCAGACCTGTCGTCCAACGTCGACTCATATCGAAGGCTTACTGCGTACCGTCCTCCTATATCCCATCGCCCGCCGCCGCCCAAAAAGGTGTCATACTGCCTCGATTAGACGCGTCTACGCGCTGTTCCTCGGCACGTCTTCCCAAACGGCTGCCTTTTCGATACCCCCAAAACGTCCCCATTGGCACCATGCCTCTTTCACCAAAGGCACCCACGCACCATCACCCCCCTGCTCGATAACGGCGCTGTGTAACCGTTGCTACACCACAAAAGCTGACGAAAGCACTAGGGGAACCGTTCGCTAAAGAAGGACCAGCCCGCAGAACCCTCGTTGCCAACAGTGCCCCTTGCTCATGACCCCCCGGCCTGCATCTACCCTCCATCACGAACTCTGCAAACTGGTCTTCTTTCGTGCTTTGCCCTCACCAAAAGGCCACGGATCGCGGCCACTGTCCGGGCTGCCTCCCCTTCTCTCTCATCAGATGATTCTTGCGTATCCGTACTCGTTATCTTCCCGTTGTCATTGTCCGTGCCTTCCTGCGACCTACCGTCATATTCCCGGCCGTGTAATCAGGCAGCTCACCACGCGGCACGTGTCGTTGAAGAAGAGCAGCACTAGCACTAAACAGAGGGAGGGGAGGGAAAGGGAGGGATGCTCCGCGCTCCGCACCACTGGTGCCTCGATGCAACTCTCACATCAGATGTGAGGCTCTGCATGAGTAGGAATGCAGTGCATATCCTGCCCTGCTGCTGCTGCTCCGCTCCCGAAGGGAACTCGCAATGAATGTTGTTCGGCAGGATCCATCCCGCTCCTTTTATCCTGCCAATGACATGCTCACGTGAACAAATGGCCATCCGTCGTCGCCAGGGGAGGGTATTTTGGCCGATGAGGTGGCTGGGGGCGAAAAGCAGCAAGTTTCCCAAAGATGACAACTCCAAAAGAAGAGATAGGGGCACCAACATCCAGGCGGTCGGTGTCGATCGAGACCACCGCGCGATCCCGGTACCCGATGTACATGGCCCCTGAGAGGGGGAAACCCCCGATGTCGAGCAGGAGAGTCCCGCCGCCCATATCGCGCAGTCTTTTCGGGACGCAAGGTCAAAAGGTTCTCTATCCCCGGCCAGCTGTTATTGTCCGCTGCCCTTGCGATCCGCTCAGCCCACACTTTGGTGGCTGGTCAAGAACAAAATGGCCCGCGAAATGGTCCGCCATGGGCGATCGCAGTCGTGTAACGATCAAACGGCCTTTTCAGCAGTGTGATGCAACGCTGCCAACGGCAAATGGTACGAAAATCCGTCTTCTCTCTGTTATTGACCTGGCGTCGGACGAGTGTCAGATCCGACCTGTCTCAAAAACAAGACGCAAAAGCAACAACCTCGAACCAGAGACAAAAAGAAAACAAAGCGACGGGTCAGCTCTCACCCGTTTCGTGACGTGGCAGTCCGCACCCTGACGCCTTCTTGATGAATCCACGAGCATCATCAGCAGGCTGTCTCGACAGGTACTGCTACTCGAGCATGCCAGATGCAGACCGCCGCAGATTTCCCCCATGCGTCGCTGCCTGCTCACCCGACTCTCACTCACCTGGGTCAGGATGAGATGATCAAAAAGAAAAAGCTGCATAGTTGGTTCCATCTTTTGATGACCCCAAGGTGTTGAAGACACAGAATCAGCCATATGACAACTCATAAACACCATCCACGGGGAGGGGGCCAAAATTCGCCCATCCGTGCTGACATGCGTGAGGCGGACAAGATGCGATTATGCTGTGTAGCTGGATCAGCCAATTCGCTTCCGAAGAGGCCTGGAGTCCCTGCTTTCCCGGCTTGAGCCACCTAGACTTCTAGGCTGAAGTGAAGGCATCCTCAGGTGACACTGGCCCAGGAGTGATATCGCCTCGAGGCCACTTTCGTCGACACGAGACGCGGGTGCCATGCGGGTTTGTGGCCCCAAGGAGCGGTGGTCTTGGAGCTGACAGCTCAGGTCGTACAAGTATGGAGGAAAAGCAAACGCGTGATTCGGTGAAGAGTGCGGATTGTCGTCCGCCTCACCGACGTGCACTGAAACCTGACCCCCGGTCTTTGGTTAGCAACAGGCGGCCAGGGCAATAGCGCCAGCTAGAACAAGATCATTAGCGTAATCAGCAGAAACGGATCCCGTGACGCTGGAGTACATCTGCAGGCTGCACGAGGTGAAGAAAGCAGTAAGGCGGAGGATTGTCAGACATGGTGGGAGGGGGACGTCGGTGAGCCGGCGGCGTAAGAGAGGCGTAGCAAAACAACTTTTCGCTACAGATGCCCGCCGTGCTGGGTGGCTTGTCGCTGCAGACAACGGCGCAAGGTGCTAGGCATTCAAATGCAAGCAGCCGTTGCATCGTAGAAACGACACCTGAGCCACCATGAGACGCGGTCCGCAGCGTACCAGGCAATAAGTCGTGACCATCAGCGACCGCATCGGGACAGCTGCACATTCCAAGACTGACCGGCGTAGCAACGTGTCTCTGAAGCCCCTCAGGCTTACTACGGCACCTCCTCTTCTCGTTTGCGAACGTCCGCTCTGTCGAGAGAAGGAAACAAAAATGACATGTCGCAAAGCTCCAAACGGCACCTTGGCCGCCAGCGAAGCAACGTTGAGGAGGGGCCGGCCCGGGTAGGGTGTGAGTGCTGCGAGCCGACTACCGATCTCCGTATATGGACGCCGGAGACCCTGGCTTGAGTTGCCTGATCCGGAGACTCGTGCGGCATGGAAGATAGATTGTGGGCGGAGGGGTGCGCCTTGTGGTTGGAACGGACTCTACCGGATTCAGGGGCCCGGTCAATGTAGGCTGGCTGCTGTACCGTGGCCACTGACCTTTTGATTCGGCGGTCGGTGTTATCTTGCTGTGAGAGGCGCGACGGCGGCAGGTATTGACTTTGAGGTGCACATAGTAGCAGTTGTGGCGGGAGAGTCCGTCAGAGCTTAGCTAGGCTGGTGGTGTAGTCGGGAGGCGTGCACGTGAGGCCATCGTGAAGTCCCACTCGGCGCCACGGCACGGCGGCGGCCGGCAGCTCCGTCTTCCCCGGCCGTCTACGGTCCAGGCCGGCGCCCCGTTGCAAACGATAATTCGTTCGGCGGAACCACATTGGAGGAACGAGGATGGCGTCAAAGCATATGCCGTTCACTGGGTCTTCTGGTGTCCTGTCCTCACGAGGTGGGCTGCAAAGGGCGGACGCCACAGAGTCGTGGACTGGGAGCAGTCGGCTGCTTGCAGCCAGTTTCCCCATGGTCCGCGGAGGAACAAGTGCACCCTGCAATCTGTCAGCGTCGTCTTGGGCCGCCTCGTCCCGCAATCGCAGACTGAAGCCGGCGTTTGAGACGTGGTTGACTCTGGAGTCGGATCGTACGGTTTCCTGTATTGCGATCACCTCCACAGCAAGGGTTCGCTCTGTCCGAGATGAGTGCTCGGAGAAGCTCAACGGTACGTGCAGCAGAAGGCAATGCACACCACGCACGCACAGGTGTCCATCCATGCCTTTAGAACGGCCATGCCATCCCATACTGCCCTCCGTCAATCTTCCCATGTTGCGCTGGGACATGCGGGGAAACGGACTACGCTGCCCGATATATCCAGACAGCCAGGATCGGCCAGCCACAACACAACGGCACGGAGTTTTGAAAGCTCGCTTCCGCATCGTGGCATATCAGATTCAGGGGCCCAATGTAAACGTGTCTATATCAGCAAATGGCCCCTTCAAAGCCCTCAAGGTAGGGCGAGAGCAATGGGCCACGACAAGCATGGAAAGTACCCATGATCCATCGTGAATCCGCAGCAGTGCGACGAATAAGTGAGCCAAACTAAACTCGGAACACGCCTGCCTGGCCGACCCGTGGAGCACTGGAGCTTTCGACCAAAGGTTTGATTGACGAGAGTTTACTGAGCACACAACGCTTATCCTAGAGGATTGACTCGCTCGGCCGTGCCCGAATACACCCCCCCCGGGCGACTTCGTCTGAAGGTAGGGCCGCCGCTTATCGTTAGCGGGCAGCAAGGCACCGCACGTCGTAGGAATTAGTACCAATTTCCAAGAGAGGTGGATGTGTGCGACAATTTTACCTTTGCCTGGCGTCAGCATGTAGGTACTCTGACAGACAGGTGCAGTCTCATGTGAGAAAGATTAGATGCGGGACGATGATACAGCCAACAAAGCTGCTTAGGTCAGAATCGCTGTGCCGCGTGGATGGCAACATGATCTACCGGCGACGACGACGAAGCTGGAGGAAACCCAGATTCGACCCCCAAATCTCAAGTGTATCTGGACGCGGTGGGAAGCCATCGCACAAGAATAGCAACAGCTGCTCCGCAGTCAGCTCCGCATCGCGCCCTGGTTGTACCTTATCCAACGCAGTGGCTCCTTGGTGATATTGCCCAGGGCCAAGCGCAAGCAGCACCCGGGCTCGTGCCATTCGGGTCAGGGCTGCGGTCCTCTGTCAGCAAAGGCTGCCCCGTGCCATCCCGGATGCATAGTCGGGGGGCCTGTTGATGCTCCTCCTCATCAACGTAGTAGCGTAGGGCAAAAGTTAGGTGGCATCTCCAAGGAAGACCTTATTGTACAGTCACAACGCATCTGACTTTGTGGGGTGGCGGACGAAGACAGCGGCACGCCGCGCAGTCAAGCCCTCGTATGGAGCCATCGGGCGAATTCATGTGTGCGCCTTGGATTGCCATGTTTGCTGTCTGCTTGGGGCAAGGTTGGAAAGGAAGGAAAAATACGACGAGAACACGAGTAGCGCCCAACGCTAGCCGCCCTGGGAACTTTGGCCTCGAGGAAAGGTGTCCACCATGATTCCGCCCGATTCTTCATAGCAGATAACGGCGTTGCGCCGTGAGACGCGGTCGACGGGATCCTCGGCCGCCCCAAAATTCCCTAGCCGCACGTCAGCCACTCCACACTCCTCAAACATTGCCCGCCTACCCTTTCCGGACGGGGATTGAGACTGGGAATTGGAGAAATTTCGCTGAAGAGGAGCCAAAAGCTAAGGGGGAACGTCTGGAGTGGGGGAACACCTTGGGTTCCCACAAGCAATCACAGAAGAAGAAAGCTTCAGAAATTCGTCCACGGAGACCAACAAGACGACAAGAGGAACAACGGCAGCCCCGAGGCAAAGGACCGTCTGCGGAGTGATCTGCACCAGCTGATCGGGGGTCGGGCCCGGAGCTGAGGCTCGCCGAGTCCCCCCCCCCCCCCAGCCATCGAGACGTTGGATGGAAGCCTTCTAGAAGGAATTGTACCTTTCGGATGGCGTGCTCATCGTTTGATAGTCGCAAGGAGTTACAACGAGCGTGCTCAGGAACCCGAGACGACCATCAAAGTACACGTATGGTGTATTGCTCGGGTTCAGGGGACCTGGTTCGCCGTTTCGACTGCGCGGGCATTCTTTTCCCCATCCTCCAAAGTTCCCGCTGCTTCTGCCGCTTTAGCAGTGGGAAAGGCGCACGAGCAGCTTTGCTGCAATGCCGAGCAACGCGGCCCCTATCGCGAGTTATGACTGGGATACTCCTGCAACGGTGCTGGAACCACGCGTGATTCTGCACCCATTCTGCCCCCATTCGGCGGTGCCAGCGAGGCTGAGGACGAGTAGGAAGGGCCTGCGCCCATTTGCTCTCAAGGACCTTCGCTGTAGGTACACTTGTCAAGTGCCAGGCACGCAGCGAACAGCCCTCGTTCCGAACATGCCGTTTCCCAGCTTTCCAGAGTTCCCCGGGCCCAGCTTCATGCTAGCCGACCCATCGCGACAGCAGTCGTACATGTGGACTCGTAGTCCAAATGCCCACCAACTCTGAGCGGATGAGCGGACACGGCGCGACGCGGCATCGCCTTGTTGTTTATTGAGTCAGTCCATCGGTATAGCGCTACTGTTTTATAGCTGGCAACGGTTTGCTTGAGGCATTGGCAGCGTAGCCCCCAGTTGTTTATATCGTGACAGTGTCAAGCATATGCCAGAACCTGATCCAGTCACCCTTGGCCATAATCAAAGTTGCTAAAGTTCATTCTGGCCCTGCGTTTGCATCGTGTCATTGCGATCGCTTAGGAGCCACCAACCGCACTCTATGTGAGACGTGCATCCGTAGGCCGCCACTGGGCAGCATCTATTCCTGGAGGCTGGAGAAAAACAGCCACCGTGGATCGTCAAAGTGATGCCAGATACCTCACGGAGGTTTCGTCGCTGTTTGTCGGGACTCGGTCGTGCCGTGGTAAGGGTCACTGTCTGAACTTCCCGTCAACCCGGCTGCCCGGGTCGCAATAAGTGAGACGCAGGCTGGCGGTTCGCGAGCGGGTGCCATCTGTTCTCTCACAAAGGATTTCCCGGGGCGCATCCGCGGACGCTTTAACTGTGACTCCAGCGCCCGCCGAAAAGAAGATTTTGGGCCTCAAGCGATGAACCATGCAGCTCCTCTATGCGAAAGTGTTTGTCATATGGCCGAAAAGCCGGAACACCCCTCGATTCTCCCCTATGCACTCGGACTAGAATAGAAGGCAAACAACGAGACAACAATGCAGAGGAACATCGGAACGACGCGCAGTGTGCGAGGATTTGCTTGCTCGGCGCAATAAAATCTGGGGAAGTCAGGCACAGCCCAAAGGATCGACCAAACTTTGAGCACAAGGCGCGTGTCTGTGCCAGTCGCCGTGTCAGTCACAAGCCGTTGCCAAACTGCGATGATCATGGAAGTGCTGCGACAGTTGAAACGACTCCATGGCCATCCTATTTTCCCATGGCGGATGGAGCCATTGAGAGGCATCCGTACGGACAGAAGATCAAAGACAGGCAGCTGTTTCCAGTGAGTAGTCGCAATGTGCTCAATCCCCACAATGTTGACGACTCCCTATTGAGGGTGAGAACTTGCGCCGTGCCACCCATGCCCAAACGCAAAATGATGTGCAGCGAGGTCCATGCGAAGTGATCAAATAGAGTTCGCCCATGGAAAAAAGGAAGCAAACTCGAAGGCCAGGGGCAAATTTCCGCCGAGGTGCAAGAAAAGGGGGAAAATTGGCACGATGCCACTGCTCATTGCTGTGTCAGTACGACGCCCGAGCAGTCCGAGACGAACTCCGGAGCAACACAGGGGGTTGGCGTTGCGAGCGTTCTGACAGGCTGGTGCCTCATCTCGAGTCCTAATCGGGCAAGTCGTCCAGTCAAGACAATTTGGCGCGTATGAAACGTCGTCCATCCTTCTCCGTCCAACGACCCATGCGACCATGCGCTCATCGTACTCCTCAAAGACGGGTTGAATCGAAGGAACAGAATACCGTCGAGGTGCATGTAATTTTCTAGTCAAAGAACGCCAGCCGCCGACATTGGGGCTATCCGAGTGCTCACCATCAGCTGTAGTCGACCCGCGCGAATGGTGCTGCGTCGGGATCCACGGTGGTCCTATGAGATGCTTTGGCGTGCTGCCCTGCAGTGATGACTCGACCTCGCAGGTGAAGATCCCACGACGAACTTCCAAGATGCCCACTGTCGTCCCTGCAGGATCATGCAGCTGGGGCGGTCCCCCCCAGACGATCCTCTTTCTCAATTAACGCTACCCGCGTTCTCCGTTGAGCACAATGGACGAGTCTCCGATACCAGCCGTATCGTGCTGTCCCCCCACAAGCTCTCGTTATCAGAGGCACGACTTGCGTGACGTTTACGTCTCGCTGCATTTCGCCATGTTGGCCTGCAAGCGCAAAGATTACAGTCAATCGCGACCCCCCACAGACATCTCCTCATTGTGGTCGCATCGTGATATGGGCGACTGTTGTCATGGTATCCTAGAGAGAAGATGGAGAAAACCAAAGACAAAGAGAATGGCCCCACTGCGAATAATCCTGCGCAGACACCACCGTGTGGTTGGGAAGCGGAACTATCTGAAGGGATCATCCCTCTCCGGAGGCTCAAGCCGGAATGATCTGACAGGGACGGGTTCGTTTGATCTTTTTCGGTAGCTGGACAATGTCAAGAAGTGTTTGTTTGGCTCTCGCGCGCGAGTATCGCGTCTTGTTCTTGCTTTGGTGGCAGCAAATTGCAATGCCGATGAGGATATGGCGGCATCCCCTCGGTCTTGGTGTTGTTTGCTCGGCCAAAGGGGCTGCCAGTGACATGCCAGCGATCAGAGACATGCGACGAGCCTGCAGGCGGGTGTGTCTGACAAGGTGACGGCGTCGCATTATGAATCGAGGTGCGCACATTTCCCAAAGACACCAAGGAGACGGTACGGAGTGAAGCGCAGACAAGACGTGCATCGCAATGTCGGTCCCGTTCGATGTGCAACCAAGGCTGGCCAGAGAGCCGTCCGATGGCTTGATTGTGATGTGACTGCCCAACTATCGCTGCTCGTGGCAGGCCATGTCCCGCCCTTCGCTGTCCGGAGTAAGCAGACGGCGGGCCTTCCCGCAAGCGATGTGCGAGCTTGCATCCGTACAACGTCGGTCAGATTAAGGAGCATGGCCGATCTCATCAGCGAGGGCAAAAAAGCACCACCTTTGCTGAACAATGTGTTTGAAGCCGTAGCAATCGCAGTGGGCTCGTTGCTCGCCTGGTCGCCTAGACAAAAAAAAGAGAGAGTACCCCGTAGCCTGCTGGGGTGGCCAGAATTCTCGAGATGACTCCCCTCCCCGCCTGGCGACCAGGGCAAGCTGAAGATTGCGATTTGCGCGCGAGACCTAAGGTGCGTCGCTCAAGGATACGGTGGCATCCCGATAGGCCGACTGGGTCTTTCTCCAGCCGGCAGCCCTTCTCGAGATGGGTGCTGTGATGCATGGTCAAGGTCGTCTCCCGCGCCCAATTCAGTGATTCTCAGTAGTGTGTGTGCGAGCAGCGGAGGTCAGGATGGGTGGGATTTGTAGCATGGATGCGTTGGCCAAACGAGTATGGAGGTTGCCTGACGCATATTGGTGCACTCCGTACTTTGTGGGACGTTATGCCGGCAGCCATCTGAATCACTGCGTCTGACACTGTTGAGGAGCGCAGGCGAAGCATGTCACGTCGACGACGTGAGCTGGCGAGGCAGTCGACGGCCAAGTCTTGAGTAGGATAACCCCGCGGTATCACTTTTTGGGGGCCACGCGTGGTTGAACTGCATGTGGCGTCAGGATGGGCTGGAGGAACGTTGCAGATTGGATGAAGAAGCTATTTCCAGTGCGTCTCCGGGCAGAGACCCAGGTTCCGGCTGCTGTGACGAGATCCAAGAGTGGAAGCAGCCTGGGATGTACCGGCCAGTGATGTTGATGTCGCGTTGCTTTGGCGTCATGGGTGAAGTCATTGAACTGGCATGTTTCCTTCTAGTCCACACGCACATGGGGCATGGCATGTTCGAGTTCATGTTGTTGCTTTTTAGTGAGGCTCCGTCGGGAGAAAGCATCGGATCCATGCGATGGAGACGAAGTACCTGACCAAGTACCCAGCAAACTTGCAAGGAAGGAACCGGGACACTGGACCTTCCATTGTCTGTGGTGTCAGGCTGTCGAGGTGCGCAACTAGCACTGGGAACTTGGGCAAGAAGGCACCGGCCTCCGGGACACCGTGCTTGCTGTCCTTGGGCGTGCCTGATCGGAACAACCTGTTTCCCCATGAGGCAATGGCTGGGAACTGCGCCGGGAAAAGAACAGCCAGGAACCGGGACGACTACCAACAATGATGCGAGCAAACATTCCGAATTATCGGTCTGACAGGGCAGGGCAGGGCCCCTGGAATCAATTTCAGTGCTGAGGGTTTGGCTATGCGTCCAAGAGGCACAAGAGGTGCCTCCAGCCAACCGTTACGACAAACCCCAATGGCGAGTCACAAACAGGGGGAGAATATTCGCGCCTTGAGCCTTGGGCAGCTGAACTATGGGGACCCTGGAACCAACCCATCCAGATAAGATGCGAGCTTTCTACACAGTAAGGAAGGAGATCAGTAAGCCGCATACGAGACTTAACCTTTGGCGATTATTAGGTATACTGTAAGGAAACGGTCGGATACGAAAAAACAACAAGGAAGCACTATCAAAGAGCCACAGCGAGCAATGAGACGAGAGGCCGGGCTTGGCAGCCAAGTGGAAACACTGCGATGGAGCCTTTGTAGAGCCCGACTCGACTCAGAATAAGGGTACCAGGCCTTCCGCGACTGGTGGCTCCGTAGATGGGACTCGAGGGAGAAGAACCAAAAGTATCCGTCCTCGGAGGGAGCCTCCTCAACCCACTCGCGAGATGAGCAAAAGTGTTGGTCATCATGCTCAATGCGCGCCGATCGTTCAAAGCAAGCCGGACAAGACGACCCTCAGCCGTCAGTGCGAGACATGCAAATCCACTACACGTTGCGTTGGATAGCTGTTGTTGTTCTTTTTTGTTTGCTGTCACGGAACAGGCATCTGCCTTGCTGCTGGTCCTGTAAGGCAACCGAATCAAAGGGCGTTCGGGAACCACTCGAATCCGCCGTCCATCGTGCGATGCAGTCAACCAGTGTCTCTGTTTCTCTTGTCCACCGACCGGTCCTTCGTCTCTTGACTCAAATCTCAATCTTTCCGAAGCCTCTTTGATGGGTGGTGGATTCGGCCCGCGCGCGTGAAACGTCCAGGATCAAAAAAATTGATTCGCAAAATATATCAGATTGTCTAGGGTCAGCTGACAGGAGATTGAGATTGCACTCGACGAGAATGCAGCCTCGTGTCACTGTCGTCGCCGCCGAGTTCCTCGCTGGTTACGATCAGCAAAAAAGCTAGCTAGCTGAACAGAGTTCCCCCCTTGTTGGTTCCCTCGAGAGAGTGATATCCTGCGTGGGGAACACAACGAGGTCTGAGAGTCGACAGCAGAGAGAAAAGAGACACCGCTTTCTTTCTCGCCCGCCGCAACACGTGCCAAGAAACAGCAAGGCAGGACTGGAAAGCTTGGCTTTCGCAACGGCGCATGCCAAAAGTGCCTCTATATACCCTAACCGGCCAGGCTGCGATATGTACAGGGATGCTGATTATCCTACGCAGGCAGAGCTATTGTGCTTGTGTCGGCTGTGGCCCGGTCTGGTGTTGTATCTGATTCCTCGTAGACAGGCACTATAAGATTAGGGTATGCGCGGGTGCGGTTGTCATGCTGGGCGGCTGCGGCTGATGATACGAGACGGGCCGGGGGAGGGAACTCAACGGGCGAAATGATCACAGAAGCGCTATACCTGTCTGTCCAGGGTAGGGTCCTGACTACTGAGTCGGGCAGGGCGCCGAAAAAAACCAGACAATGGAAGACGTGGAAGCCCGCTCGTCCTCCGTACCGACGCTGATGACGGCGAGTGAGCCGTGCAGTCCCTCTCAACTCCTGGGTCAAGACTGTAAGTGGCGGCAGAAGCGAGATGGTGGGCAAGCGGGCTACGGGCTGCACCCGCGCGACCATGCCTCCAGATTACCTTGGCTCTTGCGAGAACCACAAGGCTTGGTACGGCAAGTCGGCATCGTGAGGAACGGAGACGTCGCCCCAATGTGGCCAGCAAAGACGACAGCATGGCCGCCTTGACCTCGGCCACGCGAGGGATCGTCCGTCGGAATGAGGTCAGCCCATGGCAAACTGGAGTAAACGCGGGTCGACAGCCCGAGACAATGACGGGCCTGGGAGTCTGTGAATAGGGCAGAAGAAACAGGAACTCGGAGTTGCTCGTTGGTGCTCGACTCTTCCCAACAAGCCACCTCCCCGCCGGGTTTGCGGCCATTAACCGGAGTTGTTTTTTTGCCTCACAACTGGTCACTTTGCTTGCGGGTTTATGCTGCCGTCATTCTTGGCAACGGGCGGATGAAACTGTCTTGTCGCCAGCTCAGATTCACACAATCGTGCCATGGTAGATTGTGTAATGTCACGCGGTAGAATGAGTCCAGGGCCCTTTGAGTTCTTGGGAAAGTCAACACCGGTCCATGTCCACCGCGTGTGTAGCAAAAGCGTAAACGGTCTCTATGCGGACCAGCCCACAACTCCATTCATGGATGGAGATTACTGTACAGACTATAGCGCACTGTACTCCGTACAGACTGCGGATACGAATACTAGACGAAGGCCGAGGGGGCCGGAGTTCCTTGGTAGCAACCGATGAGACTGTATCCGTATCCGCGGGCTTTGGCGCAACTCCATCTCTCCAGGCTCCAGCATTTCCACGGTTGCGGTTGGTAGATTCTGAGCGGCACAGCCTGGCAACTTCCGAGGACATGTGTGTATCTCCTCGAGGCTTGTCAGTACCTAGCGCTGTGTCAAAAGCTCAGGGGAGAAGCACGTGTGTCGTCCATGGACCATCCCCCACATCAGACATGGCGCTGGCGGCTGGCGGTGAGACGGGGCCAAGTGTGAGATGCTCCGTAGCACAAGAAATATCTCCAAATCGGCCCAAAAATGGAAGAAAGAAAACAAAAAAGGCAAAAAGTTTAAGTAGAATGCCTGCTCCGCTTAGGGCAGCCCCAGTGGCATGGGGCAAGCGCCGAGCCGCAAAGGGGATACTCGCAATGTGAGACCCCAGACTGCCCAAGCTGCGACAGAGGAGATGAAGATGGCGTGCACCTCAGCTGTCAAGGCCTGACTCTCCATGGACAATCCAAGGTGGCCTTATGCCATACGGGTTTGCGTGTGCTTCTGGTGAAAGGACAACATGGCGATAGCGACATTTCCCGTCTGACCATCCGGCCGTGAGGATCCAAAGACTGTTCGGCTCGAGAGCATGATTCCAGTCGACTTTGCAGCGGCTGTCGCCCCCAAAATGCCAGCAGTGTTGATCTGGAGCGGTCCAAAGGGCGAACGGGAAGTGAGTACCGCGCCATTTTCTCGGGCATCATCGTCCCGACTAACACGCCGGAGAGAGTTGTCAAATGACACCCTCGGGCTGGGCCTCTCCCGCTGGCGCGTGGGCAATCTCGTCGGACTCGCTTCTTCTCAAAGGGGGGAAGACTGAAGCTGCGAAGCAACATGGCATGGCATGGCATGGCATGGCATGGCATGGCATGGCGCGGATTGGATTAGACTTGGGGGCGAGTGATGACTTTTGTGGTCAAAGACCAGGGTGACAAATGGACGACCATCCGCAGGCCATGATACCTTCCCATTCCTCTCCCTCTGCCTGGGCCCGATGTGCAAGGTGCATTCTGAGCCCATGTGAGCAGCTCCCGACAGCGCCGAAGAAACGAGGACGCAAGACAAGTAAGCGCGTGTGGCAGAGTGTCGAGTGGTGACTATCCAACTAGACGGACGGAATGGGATATTTGGATTAGAGCAGGGGGGTTCATGGCCTCGATTCAGAGATACGATATGCCACCCCCCTCGTCCCCTACCCTGGCGATTGGGTCGAGGGAGAAGAATGGGTGTCCTCTCTGTACGAGCGTGTGCGCGTTTGGCCAAGCAGACGGAGGGATCGGGAGAATAGCACCTCAGGAGGACGGGAGATTTGCTGCCTTGTCGGCATCCGATTTGTCGTAGAAAGAGAGTAAAAGAGCGAGTAGTCGAAAAGTGTGACAGCGTCTGCTTGGGTGAGGCGACCGGGGAACGTGGTTGTGTTTGGGAAAGGCCCTCGTGACCCCATTTTGGAATTTTTTCTGACTGCGGTCGACTGCGTACTTTGACAGTAGAGACTAGGGTATGGGAGCAATGGCCCCCAGAAACAGAGCCCAAGGTCCTAAATTGATTGTTGCGACACGAGCAAAGACGTTGGGTTGGGTTTCTCCTTCTCTTGCGTGCCCCCCCCCCCCCAATATTCGTACTCCCATGTCGATAGCCCAATTGCTTACCCCTGCCGTCGAGATGGGCAACTTCGGCGCCGCCGTCACCCTCTCGTCTGGTGTCTGCGCTTGCAAGGTGCGATTCTCAATCTCAAAAGTCGCGATGGTTGCTGCTCATAGACCAATGGAAGAAAGACACCACACCGCTCGCATCGTACCGCGCCGAGTGGGCGGGAAAGGGACTGCCGTCTCGTTCCCATCCCCATCCCCATCCACGGGGGAAACATTACACAGAGCCTTCTTTGGATCAAGGCATCTCGTCGGGCCCAACCAAGAGTGATGTGAAGTCCGACGCACTTTGAAGCTGGGTGTAGAGGCGGGAAGGAGGGGTTCTCTGAACTTCTGGAGTTAGCGGTTGCTAAATTCGTTCGACCCGTTGCTAGTGTACGTATCCCGAACTTGCTGCTTCCTTCAGGTTTCCAAGTACGTATATGCTTAGATAAGACAGTATTAGGTAATCAATCGACCCACCATCCTCCCTCTCCAAAATTGCAACCTCCAAGTCCCAACCGTGATGACGGCACCCCAAGAACGAAACACCATCCATCGACAAGGGACCCTCGCCCACCAGCCCGACGTGGGGAGGGACCCCCTTCGGCAGCGGTTCGGTGCAGCGCAGGGCTGCTTGCTTGCTGCTTGCTTCGGGGGCCCAGGATTCTCCTCAGCACCGGATACCCAGAAACCACTGGCCCAGATTGCGGATCCCCTTTGGCCTTTGTGCCCTTTTCTTTGTTCCCCCTTGTCCGCCGCAGCTTGTCCCTGGCCGGGATTGGGGTTCTTGTATGCCCCTTCGACGCGTCTTCAACCTTCGAACCGGCTTCGAGAAAACTACGTCACTCCAGGGGGCCGCACCCAATGGGAGCCCAACGATGACTGCTTTTCCCCGGCCCTCGACGCTATTTCCGCCCCTGTGGTGTGACTGTTCCATCACTCGCCTGCTCCTATCCTGTTGTCGACCAAGGCATCGTTGCCGGAGGCGTTTGATCACATCCCACGCTCTTTACCACCGGTGTGGTCACCGCTGTGCGAGGCACAAAGTTACAATTCGAGAGGCTCTGTTCCCAACGCGGCGGCGGTGAGCAGCATCCATTGCAGGGGCCTAAAGAGCATGACCAGGGAATCGACCAACCAGCTTCGACCCCCATCTGACCGCACACCTTGAACGGTGTTGCGCTTCTTCAACAATATCGACTTTCACAGACAAGATCGGCGCATCACGCCCTCCCGGATCTCTGCCGTATTGACCCTCCTTCTCTCACCGTACCTATCAGTCCCATGCTTCGACCACGCGTACCTGACTGAGCCGGCCCTCTGTCTCGGCGCCAAATAAGGGACAACCAGGCACGGGAGCAGTCTACCGGTTCCGACCCTTGGTTACGGAGACGAACTCCGAGCGTCCATGAGACACCACCGCCATGTTCCGGTCACGCTCCAAGTCCACAAAATCGCACAAGACTAGGACCCCTAACAACGGGCGAGGACGAGGCTCAAAATTGAATGACTCCGACACCCGGTCCGCTGTGCGAGACGACTCGTTGTTTGCGCTCAGGGACGTGAGAGGCCCAGGCAGATGGGTGGCCCCGTCAGGGGTCCCCTCGGCCGATTGACTTCAACGTGGCCGGCTGACATGTTGGACGCAACGTCAGTCTGCCCATCAAACACGAACAATGGAGAATAAATGGACAAAAAGAGCAGCGAGTCGACAGGCCTGCCCAAATGCAACACAGACAGGGAGTTCAGCTATTGTCGTTCGCAATATCATTCGCAACTAAGGGAGCCATCCGGCGGCTATCACTCTTCGGCCG